TTGGAAGCTTTCTCTAACAATCTGGCAAGCCATGGTTTTCTGGTCTAGAGTCAGTAAAATAAAAAGACATTAGAATTCTGACTGTGTGAGTGGGAGGAAACAGCTTTTTTATCATTTTTGATACCATTATTTATTCCTGGAAGAGTTTTTCACCTCCTTTTAGAATGCTAGAGATCAGATGTGGTAGGGGTAAGTGGAGAGCAGGTGTGTATAAGGTCTGCTGTTTTGGAGCTGAGCCTTACAAGTGGTCTACTGGAGGCAAGGAGGAATTTTAACATTCAGCATGGATGTTAAAAGACTTAATCTACCTTTTTTCATTTTGCAACTCTCTCTTTTCCCTTTCTCCTCTCCCTGGAATTGTTCTAAGTAGAGTCCCTGGGTTGTAGCCACTCTTGTTTCTTGACTAGATAATCCTGATCTCAAAATATTTTCTAAATGAATTTTAGATAACTTTATTTTTTTTCTAATGAATCGACTGGTAGTTGAGCCCCTACTTCATCATTAGTTTTCTCACATCCATACTTTTGAGAATCTTCTCTTGTTAATTCCAATTCTATTGTGTCCTCTTTTCCATCCATAATTACTTCTGCCCAAAATCATCCCTTCGCTATTAGGCTTATAGCATTTGTTTGAATCATAATCACGCATTGCCCCGTGACATCTCATGCCATTATTGTCTTTTCAAGTTTGTTAGTTAATTTATTTGTACATTCATTAATTCACTCAGGAGTCATCTTGCAAAGCACATACACAAAGCTAAATGCTGGAGAACCTGAGACTACCAAGGCAAATTTCTCTACGGGGAAAAAACTATACATAAACATATATTTCATTCCATGTAGTAAGCACAAATTGTATGACCTTATGGAACCAAAGAGAAGGAATCTAATTCAACCACACAGGATGGGGGAGATTAGAGAGATAGCCATTGAAGTGTGGGTGATGAGCGTGGGACAGGGAAAAAAACATTTCAGGAGAGGAAACAGAGTAAGCAAAGACCTGGAGGCTGGAAACAAGGTCTATTTAGGAAATTCTTAACAATTCACTGCCTAAAAGGCAGAGAGGTGTTGGAGATAAAGCTGAAGAAGTAGGTGGGGCCAGATCATGGGGACTTTGAATGTCATGCCGAGAATCTTGAACTTGATTCCTCGGACAACTGGGAACATTGAAGATGTTTAAAAAGAGGTGTGACATGGTCAGATTTACATTTTTGAGAAACTGGGCCAGCGTGGAGGCTGTTTTCTGAGGGGTATGAGCTTAGAGGCTGAGTGGTCAGTGAAGGTAGTGTGGCAATAAATGAGGTGAGTGACGACAAGGGCTGAAACTTAGTCCTTGGTCATAAAGTTGGAAAGGAGGGAATAAATAGAAAGCAGAACTGGCAGGACTTGGTTTATCAATAGGTAGTGGGAGGTAAAAGAGAGAGAAGAATTGAAGATGGTTTCCTGCTGTAGGTGTCAAGATATAAATGGTAGTGTAATCAAACATTTCTGAGAAAATCAGACAGATGTGTCCAATAGGCAGTTGGGTTTTGAAGCTCAAGGGAGCCACCTGGAAAAATGAACTTGGAAGTCAGATAAAGAGAAATTTCAGGAGGGTGGATCTGGAAACTAGATTGCATGGTGAGTCAAGGTATGAATAGGAAGTTACAAAGTGAAGTCAGTTCCTATCTGTCTCTTGCTCTTTCAGGAATATGAAGTAAATAAAGAAAGTGAAGATAGAGCTTAGGTGGCATGTCTCCCCATCTCAGATGATCTCAAGCTTCTTGAGAGAAAAGTCTAACAATGTACCATGTGCGCATTTGTATTCAGTAACTACTAATTAAATAAGTAGATCTAACCAAATATCAGCACCAAATTTTCAGGTTTTTACTTAGTCTTTCTTCCTCTTTTGTGTATCATAATATTTCTTTTCCTTGACCCAACCTTGTTTCTTTAAATTATTATTTCCATCTAGTCTATTCAGTGCCAGAAAACGTTTAGGAACTGGAAAGCTTCTCACGGAAATCTTTATGTCCTTTTGAGAAACTAGGCTCAACTTGTTTCCGGCTTTGGTCGTTAAAAAAAAAAACAAACAATAGCTGTTATTTGCACAGTAATCAGAATTCCATCAAGAAATGCTGTATTCATTAAACCTAAGTCATATTATTGTTATAATGACTAGTGGTAGAATAACAAAGTTGTTACCTTATTCATCTCTAAAAAATTTAATGTTGTTTAGCAAAGTTATAATAGATGGGAGGCTGGACTTGAAGAGATAAAAGATTGAACTATATATCCTGTGAGTGCTACTTAAATAGTTACTGAATGACTAATCAGTTATTTCATGGGCTCTAACAAAGGTGAAATGGTTGCTAGAGCAGACACAGTTGAAGAAGTAAACTCACACAAAAGTCCGACTTGAAGGATTCTCAGAGAAATGTCAGTGAGAGTTACACCACATGTATAAACTGCATTTTATACATTCTAAAATCTTTTACAAATCTGAAAGGAAAAAACATAATTGTCAAGAAAATAAGTAAGATCCAGCAATATCACTTGTGGGAATATATCGAAAGAAAACAAAAGCATTATCCCAAAGAGATAGCTCTAATCTCATATTTATTGTAGCATTATTCACAATCACAAAAGTGTGGGAACAACCTAAGTGTCTGGCAATGGATAAATGGATAAAGAAGCTGAGGTATACATATACAATAGACTATTATTCAGCCATAAGAAGGAAATCTTGCCATTTGCTACAATGGATATGCCTTGAGGGCATTATGTTATGTGAAATAAGCCAGACGGAAAAAGATAAACACTGCATGGTATCACTTATATGTGGAATAATGATTTTTTTTTTTTAAAAAAGTGGAACTCATGGAAACAGAGAGTAGGAAAGTGGTTTCCAGGGCCTAGCGGATGGAGGAAAGAGGGAGTGGTTGGTAAAAGGGTACAAACTTTCAATTATAAGATGAATAAGGTATGAAGATCTAATGTATAATGTGTGACTATAGTCGATAACCTTATATGCTGAAATTTGCTGAGAGTTGAATCTAAATGTTCTCACCAAATGAGGGAAAAGGGTAAATATGTGAGATGATAGATGTGTTAACTAATTTGATGGAGGGAATCCTTTCACAATGTGTATATATATCGAATCACCACGATGTACACTTTAAATAACTTACAATTTTATTTGTCAATTATACTCCAGTAAAGCTGAAAAGAGACAATAAAATAAAAAAAATAATAATAAAAAAGAGGTTGTCTATTATTTCTGATTTTTCATCCTAGGAACATTGACACTTTTAAACTCTTCCAAACCACAGGTTCTTGCGTCAGGGTGAAACACAGAGCTGATTCATATCCAGGTTGTTCTTCTGCAGTTTTAGGCTTTATTCCATTTCCCTTTTCATATTGTGTCTCTCATTTTGATGGCCTAATCTTTAAATATTAATACTGTGGCCACATAAAACATATTTTCATTTTACAAACATGTGCTGAGATGCTTCTTGTTAAGATCTTTGGGTGTCAACAGGCACAATCCCTGCTTAAACAGTTTAAAGAGATTACAATTCAGTGGTAGAAACACGAAGTAAAAAATATCAAAAGATTGAATGCTAAATTTCATAGGGTGTCCCTGCATGTGCAGCAACTGGGCCTTATACATCTTTATATGTCTAACATCAGGCTCAGCTTGGCATAGAGTAAATTTATTGTATTGAAATTCATTTAGAGACTGGAACTAGGTGAAGAGGTAACCAGGAAGACCTCATAGAAGAGGAAGTGAATAAGCTGGGTCTGGCCTAGAAGGATAAGTAGGATGTATGTACATATATAATGAAAAAGAATTTTCTGGGTAGAAGAAGTTTATATTAATATATTATCTATTATTAACATATGTATTGATACCTACATGTGGCATGTTGTAGATATTAAAATCAGAGTTTCCCAATCCCTCCAGGATCTCAGATGGTTGGTGACTTTTTTTTTTTTTCATTACATTCAGTATGCTTGGCAGTGATGGACAGAGCTAAGACTATGGGCTTTGAAGTAAGAAATACCTAAGTTTGAGTCTCACCTCTACTATATCACGTCATTGAATAATGTATATAAACTTTCTATGCTTATTTTTCTCAGCTAGAAAATAGAAGTGATACCTATTTTGGTTATACCATATTTTAAGCTACTTCATTAAATGATGTCTTTTTTTTTAAAGGTTTATCAAGAAAAAAAGATAATTTGAAATATTTAGACTTTTACTGTATAAGATGTTAGAAAGCTTTCCAGTTTCAATTTACAATCTTCTCCTTGAAAACAACAACAAACTGATAGACTAGCCCCACGGCTGGGAATCAGAGGACCTGTCTCTATCACGACCCAGCTCCCAGTCCTGGCTCACACCATCTCACCCCTCTGGCCTGTTTCCTCTTGTACAGTGAGAGGAAAGTCTCCACCTTCGCTGTCCCATACAAAGCCACATTTGATTATGAATGTGGCTAGTTCGTATAAAATACACAACGGCTTTCAAAGATAAAAATAAAAATGTAAAATATGGATTCTATTTTGAAATATTTTGCATATTGGGTTAAATAAAATATAACATTAAAATTAATTTCACCTGTTCCATATTGTTCTTTTGATGTGCCTACTGGAAAATCTACATTACATATGCAGCCCTGGTCTAGATGATCACTAACATCTCTTTCGGTTTTAAGACGACCAGGGACACTGGGGACACGTATTCGTGCGGTGGGATACGGAAGGACTGATCAGGGGGGCGCGCGGTGGGACGGGACCCTGCAAGAAGACACAGACCCCTCCGGCTCTGGGTCTTGGAGTAGGAAGGAG